GTCTGTCCTTTTGGCTCTGCAACTCAGGGGGTCATCATGAGAACACACAGTTCCCCACAGCTGGCCATGTCTCAAGCCCTGTGACAAGTCAGCTCACATCAAGACCTCTTGGAGCCTTGGTACCCTCTATGACATGAGGTCAGTGACTCTGTTCCCATGGAGGAGGTTAGGCATCCAAGCTGCCCTGAGTGTGTGAGCCCAGAGAGGGGAGGCCGGCTGTGTGGGGATGGTCCAGGCAGACATGGTGGAGAAGCTGCTGGAGCACAAATTGTGGCACCTGGGCAGTGACCTCTCCAACTCTCCCATTTTCCTGTGCTCCTGCTGAGCCCTCACCTCCACCCAACAGGTGCTGGAACTGCTGCTGGAACGGTGAGCACCACTCCTCTATGGACAGATGTGACCCAGCTCCAACTAGCTGTGGCTTAAGAATGTCACTGCTCCTGAACTGTTTGCAGCTCTGAAAAGTGGGTGCCAAAAGGACCAGACCAAGAGGGTCATTGCAGGGATCAGATGGAATGAGCCATGGAAAGTGCCTATCCAGTGTCTGCCCCTGTGGAAAGAACTAGAAGGGTGGCTCAGGTTAATTATTTCCTTCTCCCCAGGAAGGGTGGCTCATGTTAATTATTTCCCTCTCCCCATGAAGCAGCCCTTGCCTCAGCTCTCACCAGCCCCTGGGTTTGCTTAGCACTGTTTTTAAATTTGTAAGAGAGGTTGAGATTCCATCTAGAGTTCCCTGGGGCAGGCAGAGGGTCCCAGGTGCACTCAGGTATATGGGAAGATGCTCACTGGGGTTTACGAAGGTGCTCACTGGGGTTTATTCATTCAACAAACATATAATAAAGTGCCTGCCATGTGGTCACTTTTGTAGGCACTTAGCATAATCTATCAAACAGAGCAGATCAAATTCCTGTCATCTTGGGCTTCCCCTGTAGGTGGGAGTCAGCCAGTCCCAGTAGGGGTCATAGCAGGTCTTATCCAGATCACAGATGTGCCACCCTCCTGTAGATTTGGATGCAGCCACCCCTGTTGTGAAGGGGATGGCAGACCTCAGTGATACCAAACTCAGGTCCACCTGCCCACACCCTGGAGGAGAAAAAAACTCAGAAGTCAAATAGTTGGCATTAGAAAAGCAGATGTATTCAGCTGAAGGAGACGATAAGCTATCCCATCTGAAAGATTTAGATTTACTGAGGGGCTCCTAAGTGATGGCTTGAGGAATGCAACTTGGGAGGTGAGAAGCAGGAGAGAAGGGTACCTGAGCAATGAAGGGTCTGTGTGTATGAGTCAGGAGGTCTCACCAAGGCTTCTTCTGGTTCTGTTTTCACCTTCACTGTTATCTTGGGGCCCTGCAAGATTTTGATTTGCTCCAGTGTAGAAGTGTCTTTTCTGCAGTCTTTTGCATAGTTTCACTTCACAGAGCTCTGGTTGACTTGGCTGGTGCCCAAGGTCAGCTTCCAGTCATTTGGCCTGGATCATTTCTCAAAACTCTCCAAGTGTCAAAGAGAGAACTGTTAGCTTTGCAAAGTACTGATTAGCTTCTCAGCCTTGTTCTCTTTAAAAAGCAAGATAAGAAAGTCAGGGGATGGGAAGAAAGAGTGGAGAGAGAAAGGAAAAAACTGTCCTTTTAAAAAATCCCCTGCCCCAGGCAGCCCAGGGGGTTTTAGTTCCCAACATGGCTTCAGTCCTGCTCGCTCCAACACCAGGACCAGCTAGAAATGTGAGTGGACTCTGGGTCATGAAGGAGGGTCCTGGCAGTACCCTGGCCCCACACACCTTGTCATTCCTACTGGAGGGCCAAGGTCTGGGGCTCCGCCTGCAGGAGGAAAAGAGTCACAAAGCTAAGGACCAGGTCACAGGCAGCCTCGGGAGGAGAACCAGGCCCTGCCAGTATCAATCCCCACCCATGACTTGATGTGGGGCCCAGGACATGGTGAGCCTCTTTCTCTCACATCAGCCATGCACCTCAGCCCTTTGTGCCCAGCTGCATATGGGGCTGGGGTGTCTGCAGCCACCAGTCCTGAGAATCCCCTCAGTGGGAAGAAGAGAATCTACATAATAGGGAGCACATTGGTGCATCAACTGCATGTGGAAATGCCTCTGGGTCCCTGTGAAAGGTGGACAGGGATGGACTGTGCTTGTTTTCTTTCTCAGAGAGTGACAAGTCACCTACTGTGTGCAGCCAGTGATGTTTGCTTCATAGAATGAGTTTGGGTGATTTGCGTCTGTTTCAATCTTTTGGAATGGTTTGTAGAGAATTGGTGTCAATTCCTGTTTGAATGTTTGGTAGAATTCTGCTGTGAATTCATCTGGTCCTGGGCTTTTCTTTGTTGGGAGCCTTCTGATAACAACTTCAATCTCTTTTATTGGTATTGGTCTGTTCAGATTTTCTATATCATCTTGGCTCTAGTTTGGTAGTTTGTGCGTGTCCAGAAATTTATCCATTTCCTACAGATTTTCAAATGTGTTGGCATATAGTTGTTTATAGTAGTCTTTAATGATTCCTTGTATTTCAGAGGTATCAGTTGTAATATCACCTTTTTCATTTCTAATTTTTGTTATTTGGGTCTTCTCTCTTCTTTTTTTTAGTTAGCCATGTTAATGGTTTGTCAATTTTATTTATCTTTTCAAATAACCAACTTTTTCATTCATTGATCTCTTGTATCTTTTTGGGGGTTTCAGTTTAATTAAATTCTGTTCTGATCTTAATGATTTCTTTCCATCTGCACCTATAAAGAGTCACATAGACAAAGAGTGAAAGGATGGAAAAAGATTCACCATGCAAACAGAAATTAAAAACGAGCTGGAGTAGCTCTTCTTATATCTGTTAAAATAGACTTTAAACTAAAAATGATAAAAAGAGATAATGAGGGCCACTGCATAATGATAAAAGGATTGATCCAGCAACAAGACATAACAATCATAAATACATATGCACCCAATGTCAGAGCAGACAGATTTATAAAGCAAAATCTGTTAGACCTAAAGAAGGAAATAGACACTAATACTATATCAGAGGACCTGAACACCCCACTATCAATATTGGACAGAGCATGTAGGCAAAGAGTCAGCAGAGAAACACAAGATCTAAACAACACTCGAGACCAATTGGACTTGGCAGAAATCTACAGAACATTCCACCCAACAACCTTAGAATATTCATTCTTCTGGGCTGGCCCGGTGGCGCACTGGAGAGTGCGCTGCTTGGGAGTGCGGCAGCGCTCCCGCCGAGGGTTTGGATCCCATGTGGAGACCGGTTCCCACTCACTGGCTGAGCGCGGTGCGGGCGCAACACCGAGGGTTGCGATCCCATTACCAGTCAGTAAAAAAGACAAAAAAGGAAAAAAAAAAAAAGAATATTCATTCTTCTCATCAGCACGTGGACCATTCTCCAGGATAGATTACATGCTGGGTCACAAATCAAGTCTCAACAAATTCAAAAAAATTGGAATTATACCCTGTATTTTTTTCAGACCACAACGGATTAAAATTAGAAAGCAATAACAAATGAAATTCTGGCAACTATACAAACACATGGAAAGTAAACAGCATTCTACTTAATGACATATGGGTCCAAGAAGAAATCAAACAGGAAATCAAAAAATTT